CCGGCGAGCTCCTTGGCGATATTGCCTTCCGCCCGCGCCAGCCTGGCCTCCGCCTGGGCAGCCTGCTCTTTGGCGATGGCTTCGTTGGCCTCCCTCCTCTCCCCCGCCAGCTGGCGCCGGAGGTCAGCCTTCTCCTTCTCCAGGGCTGCCACCTTCTCCGCCAGCTTGCGGCACTTGCTGTGTCCCCACCCAGCAGGAGCTCCTCGTCTGGGGAAGGCACCTGCGCGGTCTGCGGGGATAATGCCGCCTGCCAGCACTATGGGGTACGGACGTGCGAGGGCTGCAAGGGCTTCTTCAAGGTGAGAGCTCTGCGTTTTGCTCCCCTCCCCGCTTCCCTCAGCCTCCCCTCCCTCCCGAGCTGCCCTGGTACGCTCCTGGTTCTCACCCGGGGGGCTCAGAGGCGTTGTGGTAGAGCTCAGAGCCCCCCAGCAGGGTGTTATGGACACCCACCCAGAGTTTTCAAAGAAGGCCAAAGCAAGCCCTCCGTAGTCTTGGATGAGAAAGCGCTGTGGCAATGAGCTGGGCAAACCACATCCCCACCCTGCCAGCGTCCCTCAACAGAAGCATGGGTCACTGCTCCTCTGCATTTAAACTGCATTTGTACCGAAACTCACCTGGAATAATACATCCAGTCTGGGTTTTACTCAGTCACTTGTTGCAATTAACCTACATTTTTAAGTAAGGAAAGAAATCCTGAAGTTGTGAAGCCCACTTGGTATTTTAGTTGATGGTAGCAGTGCCATTTGTTGTCCTGGGGTGGCTGGGGTGAGGAGGGCTGTGAGTTTGATGCCAGGAGGAAACAAACTGGTTTCGTGCATGGAACAAACCCAAGCACTTGCAGTTTTATTTGGTTGCTGCTTCTGTCATTACTCTTCTGGTCAGGAGCCCAGTGAGTCCCCACCAGTGGAAAGCTGCTTGCAGAGCAGTGACTAAGCACTGCATAGGGTCCTGTTGCCCGCTCTGCAATGGAGAAAGCAATGGAGAACAGCAACACGAGTAACTTACACATGTCAGTATCTCAGTGGAAATTCTGTCCTTATGTTTTTAAGATCTGATTACCCTCTTTTTGCTCTGAGTTTTGGTTGCTTTGTAATTCCCTTTCAAGAGACTGAGTTCAGATCCAAGTATTATTTGCTGAGTTGGCTTGTTCAAGTGAACAACTTGAAACAGACTTTTAGGGGGATGGTTCTAGGCAGCAGGCTAAAGGTTTGATGCATTTGTGATTGATTTGGGATATTTCTTCCCGCAAGGATAGCAGTCACGGCCCTGTTCTAGTAAAAGATGAGAACAAAAATAGGCCCAAAAATAGTAGGGAGAGAGGCAACTTTTTTTTTTCATTGCACACAGAGCTGCTAGTCTTACTTAATAATAACTCTTTGACAACACTGTGAGATACACATCTCACGTAAAACTCATTTGTTATTTAAATACAATTAGGAAAGGAAACACAAGCAACCTGAAAATAGCAGCTCTTATGGGCCCAGTCCTGCCCCTGTGGAAATCTGTAGCATATCCTTGACTGGGAGCAGTATCTAGAGCTTATTCTGCAACATTAAACAGTTTTCAGTACTAAAGGACAATGAACAATGTTTCCTGTGTCTCTAATATTTAGTACGTTAAAGCTGTTATTTGAAAAGGAACACAAATTATGAATTAACATTTTTCTATTCATTTAATTGCGGCGAAAGATTTAATTTTGAATGTTGAGCTGATAAATTTGTTCCTATTCCGATGTCTTTCCTATTAACATCTTTTTGTGTGTATGTGTATAGAGTTATTTATTGATGTATCTCTGATTTTAAGTAGG